GAGGGGTTGGGGGCACACATGTGACAAGATGGGCGGATTCTAGATTCAGGGAGGCAGCCTGACCTTGATTCCCTAGAGCAGAAGACTTTATTTAGCCCATGCTTTCAGGGGCAGCAATCTACTATCCCTAACAGCAGGGAGTGAGTCCTACCTACTGGGGGAGAAACAATGGTGTCTGCTTGCTCTGGATGGTCGAAATCTTCAGGGAGATAACTCGACAATCATTTAACCATTAGTTGCAAGCCATGTCCTAAGTCTAACATACGTATTTGGGGGAGCCGAGCTGGGGAACAGTCTTTTTGTGTCCCACAAACCTCAAGTTGAAGGATGAGAGCACAGCAGAACCCCAGTTTCTGCTCCCCCACTCCTCATTTGGACCGTGTAATGCCACATGATGTGCTATTGATCCAGACTTTTATAGCAGAGCCACAAAAGAAACCCCTGTCCACAGAGCAGAGCAAGGTTATTGAAGGGAACTTTAGAAATACTTGATTTATGTGTTTATGTTAGAAATACTTCACACACACATGTCCTGGATAAGAAAAAGTGAGGCTCACTCAGCCTCTCCTAACATGGATTATGACATTTATGTCTCACATGTGACCAACAGGTTTGGGATTTTTCCCAGTGAACCTCAATGACTTCTCAGCCACCGGAAATGGGAGCGATCTTTGCTGTTTTCCTGGTTGCTTCTGTTGCTTTCCCAATATAAAGGCAGGAGTCATCACTTTTCCCAAGGGTGTTCTAAATCCATTCTCTCAGCTTGACATCAACGTCATGAAATAAACCTATCGGGAAGATACTGTTGCTTCGACTTTTTGACTAAGCAAACTCACCTGTGGTTTTCTTTGATCATTTAGGGTCTGACATTTTGAAATAAGAGTGGAAAATTCATTTCAAACAAATGGTTTGGTATAATTGACTACACATATCAAAACCAATAAAGAACGATTTTCTAACGATGCTTAGTGGCGTAGAGATTACAAAAAAGATGTACCTGGTTTCGCTAACCACTCTTTTCATTCTGCTGGTCATCTTATAGCCATTAATGGCACCATCGAAAGACCCCGAGACTTTTCAGATTGCTGAAGACACTTTGATGTCACCATCCCTGTCCTTTCCCAGCTACAAGGAAAGCAACATTCTCCACCCTGCCTGTCTACCTAGGGGCGTGCGTGTGCGCACACATGTACACACACACACACATATCCAAGACAATCAGTATAAGGCTTCTTTGGGAAAGGGTAGAGGGAATAGATAGATACAAGGAGAGTAGAGAACCCATTGTCCTGGGTTCATGAAATTCTAATTTATTTTCCTTACTTTTATTTCTTTCTTCCCTCTTGCAAACTTGTCTCCAATTATGTCATTGTTAAGATGTCATCAGACCAGTGCCAATTTCAGCAGCTCAGTGGACAAGAGAATACCCAGTCTCGTGCCATCTTCACAGTCATTGCTAGGCGTGAGTCCATTGTTGCAACCACTGTGTCAGTCCATCTAACTGAGGGTCTTCCTCTTTCAAGATGACCCTCTCTTTACCAAGCATGATGTCCATTGCCAGGGCCTGGTCCCTCGTGGTGACATGTCCAAAGTACATGAGACCAAGGCTCACTGTCCTCACTTCTAAGGAGCATTCTGACTGTATCTTTTGTAAGACCCATTTGGCTGCTCTTCTGGCAGCCCATGGTACATTCAATTGTCTTTGCCAACACCATAATTAAAGGGGTCACTTATTTCATCTTCTTTATTCATTTCCCGTGCATATGAGGCAAAAGAAAACGCCATGGCTTGGGCTGGGCACACCTGAGTCCTGAAAGTATCATCTTTGTTTTTTTAACACACTAAAGAGGTATTTTCAGCAGATTTCCCCATTGCAATACAGTATGTCGTTTGTTTCCTTCATAGCTATTTCCGTGGACATCAATTGTGGATCCAAGTAAAACAAAATCCTTGACAACTTTAATCTTTTATCATGATGCTACTTATTGGTTTCATTGTGAGGATATTTGTCTTTATTACATTGAGGTATAAACCGTACTGAAGACAGAAGTCCTTGACTTCATCAGTAAGTGCTTCAAGTTCTCTCCACTCTTAGCAAACAAGTTTGTACCATTTGAATTTTGTGTATTGTTCACATCCTTCCAATCCTGAGGCTGCATTCTTTTTCAGTAGTCCAGCTTCTCAGGTAATTTTTCAATGTACAGTACACAGATTGAAGAAGTATGGTGAAGGGGTACAAAGCCGACACGCCCTTTCCTGATTCTAAGCGATGCCATATCCCCTTGTTTTGAATCAATGACAGCTTCTTGGTCTATGTACCAGAAGTCACACTTACCGGTAACTATTCTGGAATCTCCATCTTTGCAATACTGTTTAGAGTTTGTTAGGATCTATGCAGTGGGATGTCTTTACGCATAAACATTTTCCTGGTAGTCTCTGTTTTTAACCAAGATCCATCTGGCATCAGCAATGATATCCCTCATTCTCCACCCTCTTCTGAATCTGGCCTAAATTTTTAGCTGTTCCCTGGTAATGGATTGCTGCAACGGTTTTTTAATGATCTCCAACAAAATTTTACTTGCCTGTGATATTAATATTGTTCAATACTTAACGCATTCTGTCGATTCACCTTTCTTTGGAATTGGCACAAATATGGATCCTTTTTGGTTGGTGGCCCGGATAGCTGTCTTCGAAATTTCTTTGCATAGACCAATGAGCACCCCCAGCGCTGCATCCATTTGTTGAAACAGTGTTTCTTTCTGTTTTACACACGGGTCTCTATGCGTTGGACACGATTCTCTGGTACCTAACAACAGCAACTACTTTTAAGGAAGCCGATCACCTATTTTTCTCCCTGGGAGTGGCATGGGCTCCAAAGGCCGCCCAGGGCCGCCCAGTTGGTGCCCTGTTGAGCGCTTAACCAACGCCACCAGGACTCCTTAATTTGTTCTTCATCAGTGGATTGATGTTGTTGCTGTTTTGTTGTACAGTGTTGCTTGGTTTTGCT